AATGCTTGGTGTATATATATAGATATAAATATATATATATATATATATGTGTGTATGTATATATATAATACTGATATTTTAAACTTTAATACATGTGTGAGTTCTCCATACATAAAAAAATTTAAAAAAAACTAATATTTACCCTGTGCTTGGGCTTCGTAGTTCCCTGAAAAGAATTTATTTATATAAATTGTGATATTCAATTAAAGGACAATTAGTTCCTTTCATGTTCTAAATAAATACTCTAATAAGACTACAAATAATATTCCATAAATCATAAAATTTTAAAATAAAAGACGCAAACTATCAAGTGTATTTCGTTCGCATTTTATCATTTATCTAAAACACTGTTATTTCATTCACAAAGTTATTTTATTTCAAAAATTTTTTAAATATATTATTCAAAACAATATCCACTTTTTTTTCCAACAAAAGTTCTTCATTTATCGAATGTTTTAAATGATAATTAATATTTTTTTTCCTGTGAGTTTTATAAAATACTACAAGCAGGAAAATATTTAAAGCCTCTGAAATATCATATGAAAACAACATTTCAAAAAGATAAAAAGATTTTTCTTTAATTAAGTAGATCCAACTCTACCTTATCTAATAATTATCAAAATATTTTCAGAAATAAACTATTTTAAATGCATGGAAGATTTCTATATTTCAATTGCATAGTTAAATTTGGGTACTTGAAACTAATCACATAGTTTGTGTCGAACCACGTTTGTTTACATTACAACTCTCAGTCTCGGATTTTTTAACAATCTGAAAAAAGTTTTTATATCAGATTTAACTGAATACCTGTAAGTGACGTCATACGAGTGTTATCAAACCTAATGAGCTGATCCTCTTGTGGCGTCGAGTTCCACTTTACATGTGTATATCATGTAGGATGCGAAATTCTTAAACTCTGTACTATTTAATTTTTTAAAAAAACATTAGTAAATTTAATTTTTTTGAAACTATACTTCACAGCCTGGTTTATAAAAGGATAATCATAAGGTGAGTATGTAAAGGGGGATTTTATCGCGATCTCTGTAATCAAATAAAATAGCTCGGGTAATCTGACAAAAAATTAATATTTAGTCTGAATGAAAGCTTCAAACTTAAATTAAATAAAATGCACACTTTCTCATATCGTTAAAAAATCACTTAAAATTAGGTAGGTAGGAATTTTATTTATAACGCACTAGAGCTGCTCAATGGGCTATTCTCGACAGTTGGGATACATAGGCTGATCAATGTGTTCTCTACCCGCTAACTGTCCACAGCCAGTGATGTTTGCCTTCGGTGTTTTACTGGGACAATGTCTTTACGTTAAGACCACTGCCGGAAAACTTACTTCGTCTGACATTCATTTCTGTGAATGTAAAATTAAACACTATTGACAACCATCTAATGTACGATTTTGTATAAGACACTAACCGCCATTTCCATTTGGGTAAAATGTTTCTGAAAAACAATTAAAAAGTATAAAAAAATAGAACTCTCATAGAATGTCTGAAGTTTATAGGTTACCAGAAGTTTAAACTTTTCAAAATATATATTCAAAAAAATATAGTTATAAATGAATAATAATGAATGATATATATATTGAATAAGTGATAATGATTTTATATTGATTCTAGAATGTTTTGTTATTATTATAAAACAAAAATTCATGTAAAGTTTAAGAAAATTCTTCATCGTGAAATGATAGCTTGCTTCTGAACTTCCATAAACCAATTTCTCATAATATAGCTGATTATCGATTATTTTATTTCAAAATTAATATTAGAATTTCTGCTTGCAAATAATATTACATAAAAAAATTTCATTGTTTCAGCATCAAATAATATTTAATTTCTACTGTTTATATATCAAACTAATCGAGACAAATAACAGAATACAATGCTACAAAAAGAGAATAATTCATGCAGAAACTAAACTTATTAATAAATTATTTATTATTTTTCAAGCACATTCAATCACAATAATAATAAGTAGTCTTCCAAAAATATATTTTGAGCAGTTTTTAAGTCAAAAACTGAATTTTTTTTTCTTCGTTTGTTTAATATTTTTAAAATTTATTTTTTACAGAAGAATTATAAAGATTTATATTACAAAGAATAATACCGAATAAACATACATATGCGAAAAATAAAATTTCTCTCTTAACTGCTATCTATAATTTGAAGTTGCCTAGAAAAAAANTTTATATATATATACAATATCGATATTTCCCCCAGAATTAAAATTCATACGCTAAAAAGTTAAAGAAATTTATAATTACCCTGTGGTTGAGCTTCGTAGTACCCTAAAAAGAATTGAATTGATACAGTCAAAAATATGAGAATTAGTTCCTTTTATATTATAAATAAATACTCTAGTACTATAATTCTCTAATAATAAAATAATAAATACTATAGTACTTCAAATAATATTTCTTATGTCATGAAATTTTAAAATAAAGGTCGCAAACTATCAAGTATATTTCGTTAACATTTTATCTTTTATCTAAGACACTGTTATTTTACTCACAAAGTTATTTTATTTAAAAAAAAATGTAATACTCTTAATGTATTGCTTTTTTAATTTTTGTTTTTTGCATTTAATTTATGTCTCTTGGACATAAATTAAAGCTGCTAACATGCATTCAACATGCATTATGATGCATTTATAATGCATCATAAAATTTTTGGTACTTAAATTAAGACAAAATTCACTATTAAACTTCCAACAAAAGCTCATCATTTATCAATTGTGTTGAATTGTCATTAATCTATATTTTTTTACCTCTGATTTTTATGAAATACTTCAAAGAGGAAAATACTTAAGGCATTTGAAATATCATATGAAAACAAAAATCACTTAAAATTAGGTAGGTAAGAATTTTATTACGTCGCACTAAAACTGCTCATTGGGCTATTCGCGACGGTCTGGGATGCTTCCCTAATAATGATTTTTAAGACATCCCATCACAATCTCTATCCTCAGCAGAGGGCTCCTTCACTTTAGTAGCTCAACGACCTACGCGTTCAGTGACCTAGTACTATAAAGTAGAGCAGTTTTGGAGACCGATACCGCGGTCTTAAAATGAAAGAGTTATTTCTCCAACTCAGAAAAGAGTTAAATTTTTTTAACTCAACTTGAGTGAAATACATTCTTATTTGAGCGAAATTCTTGCTTTGCGCTTACTCAAACTTGAGTGGTATTTATTAAGCAATGTTTGAGTGCTTTTAGCTCAAACTTGTGTGATTTATTTATTGAGTGAGCTGTAAGGTGGAATTTCTATCGTTTCATTTTAAAAAGCAAACGATAATATTTCTAAATAAAATTGTTATGTTCAGTGATCTAAATAGATTATGTCTTCGTTTTTATTTTACGCTGAATTTTTTTTCTGGAGAATATGTCATTTAATATTTTGAATTAAGAAGAATTAAAACAACTTTTAGTTCACAGCGGTATTTCTGAAGAAGACGCTGTTTTGCTTTTTAATAAGTAGATATACCTTGTTGCTTTTATTTCGGAAATACTTTTATTTTGAATGTGTTACATACACATTCCATTTAAATTAGCTGTTTTTCAGCGTTTTTTAATAAAATGCCATTCATTTAAATTATTTGTCAAAAAAAATATTAGATATGAAAATATTAATTGTTAAATGTGGATGATTATGGAATATTAAAAAAATCTGATTCCATGCTAGAATCTTTGTCAGAGCATGTGGGAATATATTATATCTGATAAGAGCTTTAGAATTTTTTCAGATTTCATATTAAAGTTTTAACATTTTATTTTAATATAATAAATTTATATTCAAGTTTTAGTTTTTTTGATGTATAATTTTGGTACAAAACATTTCTGGATAATTAATTTCATATCATTCTATACTTCTTTTATAAAAGATATTTGCGAAATTATTTTTCTTACAGTCTATAATTGCTGTTATTTAAATTGCTTTCTATTAATAAAGTTGACTGTCTTTAATTTATGAAAGTTCACATTTGCATTATCCATTCTTATATATCAGAATCTTCAGATGTTCAGTGCATTTTATTATAAGTATATCTTTCAAAGAAAAAGCGTATTTTGAATTTTTCTGTTTTTATCCTGTTTTTAGCTTTTATTTAATTGGAATTCAGAATTAATACTACCTTCGTGTTTCATAAAGTATTTATCACATTATACAAACTATTTTTCTTTTGTTGCTAGCATAAAAGTTCTTACCACTTTTCTTCAAGTTCCATTTTCGAAGCAAAGTTGAAAATGCAGAATCAATATTTAATTAAAAGTACAATGCTAATTAAAGTATTTGAAAATGCAAATAAATTAGAATTCTTCAATATTTATAGATTAATAGTAAAAAAATAGGAGCAGAATTAAAAGTAATATTTATTATGAGATATAATTCAATTTGAATTTATATACCTATTTCCCAGCTGAAAATAACCTGTAGTTTTTCTACAGAACTGAAGTAATTTCGTCGTTTTTCTAGAGTTAAATGCAAATTTTCTGTAGTGCAATCTTCAATGTAAAAACACTGCAGTTATTTTGCAGCTAATGCGAAGTAATTTCTCAGTAATTTATTTCGAAAATCCTTTTAGCTATTGTTTACAAAATTACTATAGTTTAAGTGAGGTCACTTTAAAATCATAAATTTAGAAAAAACTGAAACTTTAAATCCGTGGTCATTTTGCATTAAATTTGAAGTAATTATGCAGTCATTGCTTCAGAAGTATACTTTCTGATGAATCAGCCGAAAAACTGCAGTTATTTTGCATTGTTGTAAAATTGAAAGAGTTTGATGTCTTCAATCTTGTTTTCCTGGCTGGTATATTAAATTTTTATAATGTTTTTTCTTTTTTTTTTCTTTTTGATTATTTATTAATTTCTTACAATTAGGTAAATATTCTAAACATATATATTGATAACGGAAATAACGTACACTATCTATATTCATAATAGTTAAAATTCACGAAATACATGCTTGATTTAATTGTAATTATTTATAATACAGAAGCGATACAATTTAATAAGTTTAAAATATGCCTAAAATTAGGTATTTAAATATTTCTGTATTTTAGTAATTTTATTAAAAATGTAGTTTTTATTAATTTTTCTTATTTATTTCTTTTTGACTTAAGAAAACTATGTTTGAACAAAGATAAAGAACAAAGTAAAGTCAAGTAGTTAATGTTAATTAGTTAATTTTTCTATTCGAATTCATACTAAGCTAGGATTATTGCAGAACAAAAATTATACTTATTTTTTTCTAATCAAAACAAATATATTGTTTGGATTTTAAACAAATTTATATCAAAAGAGTTTGCAAAATTGAGTTTGAAAAAGGGTATTTAATCCAGATTTTTTTAGCTTCAAACGTCTTCTTCAAGAATTTATTAATTTCACTTAGTTTCAGAAATTTGTCTTAAAAAAATTAGGCAATTTAAAACAATATACCTTTTTTATTGCTTAAAAATAAAGCTTTATAAATTAAACGAATAAATTTGTTCGAAAAAAATAACTCATAGTATTTTCAATTGAACCTAAATGAGCATAATATTTATAAAACTGCTTACTTTAAAAATTCGTTTAGAGCTCCTTACTTTTAAAAATTAAAGTTAAAAGAAAAATGACGAAACTTAGGAGAAAGAAAAAAAAACTCAAATCTACAGTGGTTAGGAATTTTTCTTATAAAAAACTCTTAAGTAATAATTCATTTATTTGTTGCTTTACCGTATACAATCAAAACAATTGGATAACCATGAAATGCTGCTATTCAAACTGTTAACTCTGAAAAAAAATTTAACTGTGTTTTCACCTTATTTGATTTAACAAATAAAAACTTTATCCTCGCCAACAAGACCCAGTTCATGAAAGTAATTAGTTCTTTGTAGCTGTCTTGACACAGGACTGTAGCCGAGAGGGTTAATCGGACGAACTCACGACAGACGGGAAGCGAGTTCGAGTCCCAGGATACACAGTGTCGATATGCTCACAGCGAAAACTTTCACAAGTACTATACTATCTAATTCGATATTAAAATTCAACAAACGTTATGATAAAAAGAATTCCCGTCTAAGGCTTTCTTTCAAAAGGAATTTTTTAAACAAAAACTATAGTATTTTCAATCGCTTACGATAGATGGCACCACTAAATACAAAAATTTTCTATATTAATAGTAAAAATTTGGACTGCAATTTACAAACTGAAATACTGGAAATCACTCAAATTCGAGTGAAAATAACTCAAATTTGAGTGAAATTTTTTTCACTCAAATTGAGCTATTTCCATATAACTCTTTCACTTGAGAGATTTTAACTCAAGATGAGAAGGTCGGTTTTATCTAGATGAAAGAGTTAAATAGCACTCAAGTTGAGTTATTTTCACTCGTTCATTTTAAGAGAGTAGGTAGACCAAAGTGTTCTCTACCAGCCTACTGACCTTAGCCAGTGATGCTTGACTCCAGTGTTTTATTAGGACAATATTTTTACGATAAGACCACTGCGGGATAACTTACTTCATCTAGCATTTATTTCTCTGAATGTAAATTTACGCACTATTTACTACCATCTACCGTACGATTACGTATAAGACACTTACCGCCATGTCCATCTGGGTAAAATGTTTCTGAAAAGCAATTAAAAAGTCTAAAAAAATAGAGCACACATAGAATATCTGAAGTTTATAGGTTACCCGAAGTTTTAACTTTACAAAATATATATTCATAAAAATATAGGTATAAATGAATAATAATGAATGATAGATATATTGAATAAGTGATAAGGGTTTTATGATGATTCTAAAATGTTTTGTTATTATCATTAAAAAAAATTCATGTAAAGTTTAAGAAAATTCTTCATCGTGAAATGATAGCTTGCTTCTGAACTTCCATAAACCAATTTTTTATAATATGTCTGATTATGGATTATTTCATTTCAAAATTAATATTAGAATTTTTTCTTGCAAATAATATTACATAGTTTTTCTGCATTTTTTCAGCATGAAATAATATTTTATCACCACTGTTTATACATCAAACTAATGGAGACAAATAATAGAATACAATACTACAATAGGATAAAAATTCTTGCAGAAATTATACTTATTAATATATTATTTATTATTTCTCAAGCACATTCAATCACAATATTTATAATTACTCTTCCAAAAGAATATTTTTTGCAGTTTTTAAATCAAAAACTGTAATTTTTTTTCTTTGCTTATTTAATATTTTTTTAATTTATTTTTTACAGCAGAATTAGAAAGATTTATATTACAATGAATAATACCGTATAAATATACATATGTGAAAAATAAAATGTCTTTCTCAACTGCTATCGATAATTTTAAGTTGCCTAGAAAAAATCTCCCAACCACTCCTTAGAATTATATTATTTGAAATGATAAACTATTTCTTAGAAATTGTAAATTTCTACCATATTTTAAGACTATATTAGTATTATTACACAACAAGGAATACAGTAGGGGGATCAAAAAACTTTTGGAAAATAGGGCACAATCTTTAACAGTTTGAAATAAATATGTATACTTACGATGGTAATGAAAAACTAAATCCAAATTTTGAATATTATATATTAACAAAATTAGTAGTAATAAAGCAATAATAATAATAAAAACATTAATGACATCCAGAAAATTAATATTAATATTGATTAACTACGGCATTAAATAAATTTATTATTATATTATCAATAATATGACATATAAAAAATATATGGGCACTTATAAATCATTTTATTTTTAAACTAATGGATATCATTATAAGGGTTGAGATGCTGAAGTTAGAGATATAATGCTATTTATGAAACATTTCTAGCTAATTTTACCTTGAGGTGCGGCAGCTGCAGTTGGGTTGAAAAATCCTAAAAAAACAAAAACTTGTACGTAAACTGGAAGAATATACTTTAAAATCTTCTTTATAAGGGTTGAGATGCTAAAGTCAGAGATATAATGCTATTTATGAAACATTTCTAGCTAATTTTACCTTGAACTGCTTTTGCAGCTGGATTGAAAAATCCTAAAAAACAAAAACTTGTACATAAATTGGAAGAAAATATTTTAAAATATTCTTTATAAGGGTTGAGATGCTAAAGTTAGAGATATAATGCTGTTTATGAAACATTTCTAGCTAATTTTACCTTGAGGTGCGGCAGCTGCAGGTGGGTTGAAAAATCCTAAAAATCAAAAACTTGTACGTAATCTGGAAGAATATACTTTAAAATCTTCTTTATAAGGGTTGAGATGCTTAAGTCAGAGATATAATGCTATTTATGAAACATTTCTAGCTAATTTTACCTTGAACTGCTTTTGCAGCTGGGTTGAAAAATCCTGAAAAACAAAAACTTAAACGTAAACAGGTATACTTTAAAATCATTAGAAAGTAAATTTTTAAATGAAAATAGTTCTCTAGATTAAAAAATTGCTTCGTTTCGTATTGATTGTTAGAAAAATAAGTTCTTGCGATTATTTAATCTATTACATAAATAGATAAATAAGTTTTTCAACCATTACTTAGTGAAAAAAAATCTTCTTACCTGGTGATTGAAATGGGTTAAAACCTAAAAATAAGATTCGAAACACTTCATAATAAGTACTATATTATTCTATTTCTATCTTATTACACTAATTTATGTCAATTCTATAAAAAAAAAATGTATGTTTATGTTTTTAAAAATTAAGGTCATTGATACCTGGAGGAAACTGATTAAAACCTGAAAAAAATATTATAAATATTTTTATATTTTTTTTATATTATCATTTCTATAGAAAATGTAATTTTATTTTTACAAAAAATAAGTAAAATTTTCACCAGGAGGAAACGGATTAAATTGTCCTAAAAATAGAATAAAGCGTTGTAATATTTTTTTCACATTTAAAAAATCTTAATAAAGAAGTTGACAATATTTATTAGCCTTTTCTCTTATTTATAAGTTTTTTATGTAACAAACACTGTCCTACGTATTAAAACATCTTTTCACTTTTACACTATTTAAGTATAATCATATTGTAAATAAGTACTAAAACGTGTTCTTGCATTTGATTATAGCACAGGGAATATCTTTGAAACACATTTTTTCTTCAAAAAATTTCAATATCTAAATGATTTTTCTAATTCGAATACAGATGAATTAAATAAATGCTCGAATAATTCTATTTAGATTTCATTTTTATTTAGCGATTCATGTAATTAGAGGTTGGTTCATTTCTAAATGGGTGAGACAAGATACTACTTTATAAAAATCACTTTGAATCTATGCGAATAACTTAATGGAAATATGTTCGAAATAGTAATTTTAAAATAATTAAAATTTTTAGGACAAAGGTTCTACTTTAAATTTTTTAAGTTTATAACATTTGTTTATTTTGCATAAACATGCAATTTCCTAAATTTTATTGTATGAAGGTACTAAATGACAATCTTTTGTAGTGTGTTGAGTTTCTTAAAAAATAAAAAATTTAGTACAGTGGTTTTGGACAGAATGGAGATGATTTGTTTGATATAAAACCATTTTAAGTGACATTTTTCCCATACTTTATTTTAATTGATTTTTTAAAAAATTACTTATTTATTTCTTTATTTCATAGCCGGTGTTGTACTGCTGCGACCCGAATCCAAGAGAAAGGCTATCACTTTTTAACTTCAGAGCCTACTAATCTTGAACCCCATCCGGAAGACAAAGAAACCTCCTAGATCAAGCATTGGAAAAACTAACCTTCGCGAAAGGGTATGTGAGGGAACCAACCCACATTTGCCTTAATTGGAGAGAAAAATCACGATAACTTCTCCGTTGCAAAGGAATTTCAACCCGTAATCCTACTAACACTGAGGATGTTTTACGTCAGCACTGTAGAAATGTAAGCCAAGAGCAGGATTCATAACAACAATCCACCGCCGCGATTCGAACCCGTTGGTGGGTAGCGACCTCATTGGGTAGCGTAACCCATACCTCTTGAGCCACCGTAACTCAGTATTATTTATGTAAAATCCTTCATAATTTTCTAAAATTGAAGTAAACTGCTATCTCATTTGAAGAATTATAAAAAAAATTATAATGGATAAACTGCCTTTCGTCTTACGTTATCTAACATCATCCTGATTTTAACAGCAGTAACAGCAGACAACATCTGTAGTAACAGCAGACAGCAGTAACAGCAGACAAGAAATAACTGAACTTGAATAAACTTACCATAAATTATTATTATTATTTGGATTACATAAAAATAGAATTAACCTTAGTACCAATGTCTCTATATTTAGTTTTACATCATGTTTCTTCATATAATAACACTTTTTTATGAAAGCATTTTATGACTCATTTTTGGTCCAATTGAGTCTCTACTCAATACTTTTCATATTAAATAAAGTTTCCGGTGCCAATGTTTACATTATGTACATCTTATGCATACATTAAACTTAAGATGCTGTGCACCAGTTAATATCTCTTTTTTTGTTTTTCTGAAATATTATGATTGATTTAGATTTATATCAAGACTTGTATGGTCTCCAAAATAAATATTAACTCTTAAGGCTACCAATTGAGTTATTAGCATTAAAAAAGATTAAATAATGCTGTACAATTATCAAAAAATTTTAAAATTATTTTACTTTGTTGTACTCGTGCTAATTTTTGAAAATGTTGCACTGACATTTCCTTTTTAGTTTCAATATTTAACTTTGTTCTTAAAATTAAAATTTAAGTTCTGTAAATATTTATTGAAAAAGCAAAGCTGAATTTACTGACAACTTTTAAATTCAATTGACACATATTTAGAAATTATTTTTCAATCATTTCAAAGCAAGTGTGAAATTTTCTATGATTTCCATAATGCACATTATATGTTTTTATGTAACTAATATAGTTTCTTAGCAACTGAAATGAAAATAAAATTGCTTTTAACGTAATTTTTAATTTTGATTACTTTCATTTTGATCATCAATCATATTGTTTGAAATTTAGGTTCTTACGTAAAAAAAGAAAAACAGAATCAAAAAATAAATGAAAACAAAATAAAAAAACGGAATTCACAATTGAGTAATCTTTTCAAAATTACAATTTTTTTTAAATAATTGTTCATACAATCATAAATTGAAAATATGATATCCATAAGAATCAAACATCGACTCAAAAACTTATGAAAATAGTTTTATAGTCAGTATACATTGCGTCTCGCGATTGGATCAGAATGGAAATCAATAAAAAGAGATATTTCTTTAAAAAAAATTGAGGTATGGCTAAAAGCATATGAAATTAACTGTTATACAATGTAAGTAGTTTCATGATAACAATAAAATACGGAATCAAATGATAAAATTAAAAAAAAAAAATTTTAAATAAAAGGTCCGGGATAGCCTGAATGTTAGGGCATTTGGCCCATATCCGAGAGGTCGTGAGTTTAATACCCACTGTCCTGAGATTCTTCGTGCAGTAAATGGTGACTAGTACACGTTAAATCTGTCGGATGACAAAGTCCTCCCACAACAAATTATAGCTCTGGAAGTACTGAATCGGAGATTGAGCGTTCTCTAGTTCAGGTCAAAATTACGATCTATGGAGGAATGAAAGTATAAAAGGGTCAACCCTATAAACCGTATTGCATATATTTTCATGTCGCAACAACAAGAATAAGATTTAGAGGCTCCGCTCAAAAACCTCAGGAATTTTTCCTTAACTCGACACTTTAAAAAAAGATAATTTTGAATGTAAAACATAATTTATATAATTTTATATAAGAATATCTTGGTATTAAGTTAATCGTAAGAGATAAGAGATTACTTTTATTTGAAGTGTGACACAAGAAAAAGGAATTAATGTGAGAAGTAATTTTACTTGTTAACAATTTATAACGGTGATTTTAACAACTCAAGATGCAAACGATTTTTACCCCAATTGAGATATTTATATTTGTGAAAAATACCTATATAAATGTTGAGACTTATGCTTTTAATTTTATGCATCCATTTTTTGTTGAGTTTGACTTCAAGTCAAGTACGGTCTCGTAAAATAATGATCACGAAACATATATGTTTCGACCACAATCGAAAAATAATCATTATTTAAAACCAAAAAAAGTGAAAAAATTTCACGAAAAAAATTCTTAATATTAAAATAACTGTTGAACAAATTGTAATTTCGAAAAAAAAACTCTCGTTAAGTTTATCGATTAGGTTTATCTTATTATGATTAAGTTTATTAAGTTCTAGAGCCTTTCAACACTTTGGTTTCATTAAATACATTAGATCAAAACTGAAAAACCTAATTAATTTTTGAACACTTTACTAAATTTTGGTATGAATTCTAGTAATTCAAATTTTTTTTGTTAGGATTAAAACACCTATATAACATAAGAGAAGCTCTTTAAATACTATTTTTATTTTTTTTAATTTTTTTTTTAGTTTTTTTAAAGTTTGAATCTCATACATAAAAATTTTATAACAGTTGTTTTCAACTTACCTATTGGAAATACTCCAACTATAAAATATAAGAATTAGATGATATTACAAGAGTGTCAATCAAGCCATTTTTATTATTATTTCTAGAAAAAAAAATTATATCATTTTTATTAGGTAATGATTACAATCTATGATATAAGCTGTCAATGTTTCATAGTTTTTAAAAAATTTTACCTCCCAAGATGCTACATGCTAGAATAAGCTGATATAATGACATTACTCCAAACAGAAATCACGGGAAAAGCAGCTATCCAATGCAGCTTCCACTTAAACACTAAAACAATGAAATTATTTTAGAGATATCATTAAATACATAAATAAAACTTTCTAAGGGTGTAATTGTTTCACTTTATGTAAGACCGCTGCATTTGCTTTAGTGATAGCATCTTTAATTTACTTCTCTTCATTGTATAAAAATAATAGCAAAGGCAAATAGTAAATGATGTATATTTTCTGATTTTTTTTCTTTTGTCTCACTCTCCAGAATTGAAAAAAAATATGTTTGGTAAGTAATATATATACTGTTGTTTATTATGAATATACGATATACAATTTTAGGTAGATGAAAACATTTTAAATTTTTAAAACATTTTAATGATTTAAAATATTTAAAGGTCCTAAAATTTGGTAATTTCTCCAAAAAAGCCGAATTGGTAATTTTACCACACTAGTATAATTTTCGACAACACAAAATTTTCAGTAGGATAATTTCTATTTTATTTAGTAAACACTTGTAAACTTCGCCTTTGGTTGATTTTTTTTTCTATATTAACTATAATCTAACTTTATCAACCATTATTTATGTTGCACTAGAACTGCATAATAGGCTATTGGTGATGGTCCAGGAAACATCCCTGATGATGATTCGATGACATGCTATCAAAATATCTCTCCAGAGATTATAGCAATTCCACTGTGGTAGCTGAATGACCTGCATGGGAAGTCGAGCGTTTTACGTTCGAACATTTTGACGAGTACTAATACCTTGCACCCTCGGTCCCTTCACAAACTGATAAAAGTGGTTCCTCGCTTACTGACCATAGTCAATGATGCTTTATTTTTGTGATGCACGGAGAACTGTGTTTTATGACTATACGATGGCACTGTGGGACTTAAAACTTTAAAAATGAGTATTTGCAAATATACAAATACCTGAAACAGGCAAAAACTCAGTAACTTATTAATTGCTACGCAAAAGGAATCTTCCAATATCCTAAAATGAAAGCGTGAATGTACCAAACTCAAATATCTCCTCACAATTGGTGTTATCTAGCTACTTTTATTTATTTATCTATCGTTACACATACTTATGCAGGCTTGAGTACTCATTATAATGTTCGGATTATAAGTACTTGTATTGATAGTACAAGATAGAGAAAGAAATCACAAAAATATATCAAGGAATACAATGGGATTAGAACCAGTTACTTCATCACTGCAATCGATGCATCTAATTTGTGCCATCTGTTCTTCAGCTAGAGTATTGACTCTTCATATTCAACTTGAAAGCTTATATTCAATGTTTTGTGTGTTGCTGCAAGTCCTCAGTTGTTAGTAAAGCTAAATCAAGTTCAAGCTACCTGCAACTTTGAGTATATCAAGCATGTAGAGGGGATCCACGCAGAGATCTCCTCTGAAAAGACCAAGGCAGTCAAGGATATGTTCGGACGTAGTCCGTCAGGCATTACAGTTAGAACATGCAAGGAAAACCTTCACTTTGTATAAATGTGTGGCAAAAACAACTATAACTTTAAGAACCAGATACTCCAGTAAACTATTGACAAATGGAAAAGAGTACCAAACCAAAGGTTTAAATATCGTAAACTTTGGTTAAATTGCCAGCATATTGTTTTTTAACAAGAAATTTCCTAACCATGCAAGTATGGCATTTGCACTAAAATTATTTTTTCTCGTTTAATGCTAGTAATTAAATCAAATTTTTAACTATGAATATTGAATGTCCAATTCCCAATTAATTAACGATGTACAGAAAGAAAGCATTTCTTATACATTATAAAAAATTTTGGGTCAAATAGCTGTATAATGTACCGTCATTAAGCTACAACATCCATTGAATCCATTGAACAGTACAATTCAATTTTATCTTGAAATACTATATTGAAGTAATGTTTACTGTATTTAATTGGAGTGATTCAGTGATTTTATGATAGTTATTACTATAAAAACTTCGGTATGTCAAAATTTGTTTTCTGTAACTGTAAAGATGGATTTTACGATAAAAAGTACCATTTTACAGTAATTTAATCCGGAATTTTTTTACTGTGTATTTAACATGCTTTAATAAAATTTTTCTGTTATATTATTATTCTAAAATTTTGCAAGACCCTAAATATTAAGATTGACTTTACNAAAAAAGTAGTAAAAAAGGGTAAAAATTCCTGTTAGGTATATATAACATGCCGTAAAAATTGTAATACCTCATAAAATGCTTATTCCATGCACAGTTTAAATAAGTGTATTATACTCAAGATAAAAAAGTTTACTTTTTACTGTACATTTGAAATACTTTGTTACTGTACATTTGAAATACTTTGAAGTTTTATTATAAGCAATAAAAAAATTTTTGGTATTTTTGTCATTTTTTGGGTACTGTGACCCCTTAATGCTAGTAATTAAATCAAATTTTTAACTATGAATATTGAATGTCCAATTCCCAATTAATTAACGATGTACAGAAAGAAAGCATTTCTTATACATTATAAAAAATTTTGGGTCAAATAGCTGCATAATGTACCGTCATTAAGCTACAACATCCATTGAATCCATTGAACAGTACAATTCAATTTTATCTTGAAATACTATATTGAAGTAATATTTACTGTATTTAATTGGAGTGATTCAGTGATTTTATGATAGTTATTACTATAAAAACTTCGGTATGTCAAAATTTGTTTTCTGTAACTGTAAAGATGGATTTTACGATAAAAAGTACCATTTTACAGTAATTTAATCCGGAATTTTTTTACTGTGTATTTAACATGCTTTAATAAAATTTTTCTGTTATATTATTATTCTAAAATTTTGCAAGACCCTAAATATTAAGATTGACTTTACGCAATATTAATTCAATATATCTTTATTTATACTCTTCTTATTTTATATTTATTTAGAAAATTCGTGCGAAGGAAAATCCAACACCATCATTTCCCATCGATACCTTTACTTTCCAGAAAAAAAATTTTGATAAATCTAAACTAACATTATTCAATACAATATCGACTTGGCTAGAAATTTTAACTAAATCTTAAATTGCAAAAACACGATCATAAAATCCTGTTATAAAATCTCTATTTTTGTAATAAAATTAAAGATATTGTCTAAACGAATACACGAAGAAACCAAAAGTATTATTTCTTCCAAAATACTGCAAGCAGCAAAAAAATCAAATTATTAAAATACTTTAACCATTATTGTATAATGAACACCAAAGAAAAAACTATATCAACCTGAACAACTTTTGTTCTAATACTCAAATATTTACAGAGCTTTAAATTCTTTTGTACAAAATAACAATTTTAATTTATGCAAAGATGTGAAAAATATTTATTAGTTTCTTATTAGTAAATTTTAGAAGGATTGAAATTTTGAATTGTAAGGTATACAAGTTTGACGTCATTTTAAACAATAACTTTAAAAAAAGAAATGCAAAATTTGGTTAGGAATGAGGGAAAATAGAAAATCAAAAATATTGCATTATTAAAGTTGTATAACTCAGAATCTATTCAGCCAATTTCACTGTAGGTGTTTCGTATATTGCCATTTTAAGAAATTAGCGTTACATACTTTTAAGTAATGAAAAGATTCACTTTTAAGATTCTGTAATTTTTTGGACTTTTATTTTCCTATTTGTTTTTAAACTTTCGTAGTTCAAGCTAAATACTCAAGACATGAAATTTAAGTTAAGGGCACAAACATTAGACTGATTTCCAGCTGAAACTATCGATTCCACATTTTTCATTTTCCGGATTCCTTCATAATTTGATGTTCAAATATTGAAAATGTTCATTTATTCAGCGAAAGTACGTTATTTTTTTGTATATAACTTAAATAATATTTAGAACTATTTTATTAGAATATATGAGCTTACGTTTTCAAACCATTCAAAGCTCCACTTATTTTGTGAAAATCCAATCATTAGTACAAAAGTTATTTAAGTTGATATAGTTTTCATATTGTGTTTTATTTTTAACTACTTATTAAATTATACGTCACTATTCTATTTTTAAACTGAAGTTAATTTTAATTAACCTTTTGTAATTCATTTATTTTATTTTTATTTACTGTAAATCTCGAAACAAACTACCTTTTTCTAAACAAAAATGCTGCAGTTTTTACAAAATCTTCAATACATTTAGTAATTAGATATAAAAACTTCAGAAATTTTTCATTAATTTTTCACTTTTTAAATCTAAAGAGTAGTAAAATACTTTTTACTTATAAATAACTCGTAAAACCAAGACTATAAATCTTTTTTAACTCACTATAAGATCAATATATAGATTTCTATTTTTGTTTATTAACTATTTAATCTTCACACATTAAGTAAAAACAATACTTTAAATGATTTTTTCCTTACTTCTTAATAAATAATCATATTAAAATTTTCAAAATTAAAATTAAAGGAAATTCTGAGTCAGTATGAGTCAAAGTAATTAAAATTGATTAATTTGTCCCAGAAGAACAGTTCTTTTTTAATTTTAAACTAAAACTTTGTAAAATTCATTTTGTTTTTAATTGTAAAACATTTTTTGCTTTTCTGTTAAAATCCGTACACACACTCACAGCAAAAAGCACACTCCGTAATTTGATAGAGACAATTTGGATTGATAACATAATAAATTAGAAAAAAATATAATTATCACATGCAAGTTTAAGAAAAAAGCTTTTTTTTATTAATATTAAGATTTGTGAACAGTAAACTTGTTATTGAAATAAATAAAATGTACAGCATCCTAAAACAAGTAATTGTTTTTACTGGCAAGTAAACTATTATATTTGTTTTTCTTTTAAATATAGTGAAAGTTCATATTTTTTATTCCATATTTCCTAAAATTCTCGAAAAACAGCAGGTTCGCTCTTGTGCCTTCTATCTTGTTACGTTGAAAGTACCAATTCGAATAACTTGCAAAATTTCACAAAATTTTTCATGTAACATGATTGCTCGAAACATGTGTAGGCCAGTTTATTGATCGTACGAAGTACCAGTTGATTAACCAAGTGATTTGTACACTCCAGGTAATAACAATAAACCTTCCAATGCTTGAAAAGTTGTAATATCTAACA